TTGAGAAAATAGTGTAACTTTAGATATATGTGATTCAAAACTATTATTAGATGATAATTTTGCGATCCTAATCAAAGAAGTAAAATATGAACCTGTGCAATGATTATTCAGAATGATCATGTATTATTAGCCTTATTTTTTTCTGATCGAAAGGTATTCTAACTATATAAATAAAATAATACATACAGATAATTTATTTGATCTTCTTCTGATGATTATATAACTTCTCCGGTTGAAGGCACTCAGGGTAAGGTGCTTTGCTATTTTTTGTTTAAAGATATAACATATAATATGCATTATGTATGGCGCATACAAGTGTTTTTAATATACGGGAATTACTAGAACATATTTTACATTTCTTATTGATAGATAAATCTCTCTATCCCACTATATTTATTTGCTGATTGTGGTATAGATGTAGTGCTTCTATTCTATGGAAATGCGTTGAATTAAATAGTATGGATGATTGAACTCGATTAAAAAGATTTTTAAAAATAATACATAAGGGAAGGCGTAAATTAATTTATAGCTCAAAATTAACTCATATTAAAATATCAGACTACTAGCTTTCAAATAAAAAAATCAAAAGTATTATACGTAGGTTCCAAAATATAATTCATTTAGATTTTAAAGGAAGTATAGAGTCTGAGTCTGTTGGAAAAGTTCTAAAACTAATAGCAGAATTATACCCAAATTTGGAGTATTTTAATATATCTGTTTAGGTAATTTATTTCAATGGAAAATTGATAAAGGTCTAACTGCAATCATAGATTCATATTATAAATTAGAATGTTTAAATATTTCTAATCGCACAGAGTTTTCTGAAATATCAATTTGCAATGTTATTCATTCTTGTCCAAGACTCTGGCAACTTGATCTTAGCTTTTGTAAAATTACTGATATAACGATTGAAGAGATTGCTAGTTCGTATTTTAATTTAAAATATCTTAATTTAAGAGGATATTACAATATTAGTAAAGAAGCTGTAAATAAGCTAAATCCAAATATTCACGTAGAGAATTTTGTGAAAACTTCAACACCTGATTTTATTAACGCATTTAGTGATTTTCTATGCTAATAATCAAAATTCAGTTTTATCTCAGATATTCTAATAACCTGATTCCAATACATATATAGCTAATTAGTCTCTGACTTGAGGTATTATTTCCACCTTAATATTGAGAGTTAGTAATAGAATACTAGCCAATCAAGTAGAATAGTACTCTACTGATCTAACCAACCTGAAGCAGTAATCATTAATTAGATTTTTTTTGCATTACAAGCAGATCACGTAAAATTTTCTTAGCATTTTTTCTAAAATTCTTTGAATCATATAGCATGTATACAGCTAATTTACTTGATCAACTTACGCCAGAATTGATACCTTTTATTCTAAAGGATCTTTCAAACCAGGATCTAAAAAATTTTCACAATATAAATGATATATGGGCAAAGAAGATAAATCTTGAATGATCCAAAAGAAAGATTCTTTTCAATTTTCATACTCTGTCATTAGTTCAAGGTGAAAATACAGTCAAGGATTTTTATTCGAAGCTAGAAGAGTGTAACAAGCGTTTCGGCTATAGTTAAAAATTTCTTAAATGTGAATTATTAAAAGAATTATCAAACGAGAATAGGATAAAAGTTCTTATGGATGATTTATAAGCGCTTGCATTAGATGAGATACTGGAAAGACTTAACTCAGAGTAGTGATCACGTAATATTTTTCATTTGAAGATACAGCATATATTATTTATGATGCAATCAAGTATTTTTAATATTGCAGAAGTATTAGAACAGATTATACATTTTTTAGCAATAGATAAGTCACTATATCCTACTCTATTTGTTTCCTGATTGTGGTATAGATGTAGTATCCCTATTCTATGGAGACGTATTGAGCTAAAGGGAAATAACCAGAGGTATAGTTATAATGTTAAGAATCATTTTCGATTGGAAAATTTTGTAAAAATAATGTGCGAAAAAAATAAACTAGCTTATGCCTCAAATGTAACTCATCTAGAAATTACTTTTTACCATTCACTTTCAGATAAAAAAATAAAAAGTATTGTAAATACATTTCTAAATATAATTCATTTAGATTTCAAAGAAAGTATAAGTTTTGGTGATAAATTACTATTTATAATAGCAGAATCATATCCTAATTTAAGATATCTCAATTTGTGGGATGTTTAAGCAATAACTGATAAAGGCTTATGTGCGATTATACAATCATACCGTAAATTAGAACATCTAAATATTTCTTATTGCAGAAATATTACCAATAAATCTTTGTTTAAAATTGCAGAAAATTATCATGATTTATAAGAGTTTCATTTTGCTGAAACACATTAGATCACAGATAAATCTATAAGTTGCATCTTAAACTCATGCCTAAATTTACGAAAACTTAATATTGCACATAGTAAAGGGAATGTTAAAGATGCTAATACTTTAATGCGGAGATGCTTCAATATAGAATATCTCGACTTTTGTAGTGCTATGGCTTTGTGGGATTATAGATTAATTATAGCTATCATCAAAAGATCTCTAAATTTAAGACATATAGAGATTAGCTGTAATGATATCACTGATAAGGTTACTGAAGCGCTGGCTCATACTTATTATAAATTAGAATATCTTGATCTGTGTTGCTGTGATTTTGTTAGTGAGCTATCAATTTGTAATATCATACGTTCCTGCCTAAAGCTCTAACATTTCAACCTTAGTTACTGCAATATTACAAGTAAGATTATCAAAGAAATTGCTTGTTCATGTCTCAATTTAAAATCTCTAGATTTGAAAGGATGTAAAAATATTAGCAAAAAAGCCATAGACCAACTAAATCCAAATATTCATATCGAAAATTTTGATAAAGATTACTGCTGTTCTGATTCAGAATCTTCTAGCTCTAAAACTGAATTAGAGTCTGAACAATCTAGCTAGTCCAGAGTGGTCAAAAGGTGTTTTACATGATCATTAATTAGATTTTTTTTTGTTGGATTATGCCCTGTATGACAAAAAATATAGATTAGCATTTTACCCCTATTGATAAATTTCTATATTATTACACTTGAAATGTCTAAACTTTTGAATATATGCTCTTACATCTTTTTTAGCTTCTTCTTTTATCATTTCTTCATCAGTACAACTAACAATATTAAGATAATGTTAAATAATACTTATATTTTCTTTCAGATAAAAGCAAATGGTATTTTTCTCTAAATGAAAATTCTCCCAATGATCTATCAATAAGATCTTCTCTATATCGATGTAATATATTAAGGGTTGGATGTCCACTAATCTCATAATGTTCCTCTATCGATATAATTATCTCCACTAAATTAAACAATAGTTTACTTATATAATTAAGTATTTCCGCTTTCTTACTTTGATTCAATGCTGTTTGGTTTGCATTGTTATTAATACCAAGATTTCTTTCAGCTAGACATTCTTGAATAGCTAATACATCCATCTTCTTATACAAAAGCATTTCATATAGTTGATTTTCAAGTATTTCGCTTTGAACAAATTTATTATTAGTATTATTTATCATAAAATTTATCTGTAGCTAGCATATATTCAAATTTATATCTGAAATACTGATCATCAACTAGAGCAGTGATCGGTATTACAATTTGTAATGTGTACATGATTTTTTGCTAAATCATATACAGAACCTTCGGCCAGATTGTGCGACAGAAAATGTGAATCATCAATTGGGATCTTATGTGATATATTAATTTTATATATATTTGAAAAAAAAACATATTAACTTTTGTTCATTATTTTTTCTTTGATATCAGATGACAATACTAATTGCGTCTTGTATTTCCTTAACTTTTTCCTTTCTAACAGTAAGATATAAAGCATTTCAGACAAATAAAAGAAACAGACTGCAGATCAAGTATTTGGAAATGACTATTTCAATTATATCTATGGTATTGTGATCACGGATATGGAGTGACATTTTATAATATATACTTCAGATGGTATTTACTATATAAGTGACAGTGGAATATCAGATTAATCTAATAAAGTCAGCTGTCAAAGAAATCCTGAATTACTTCGTAGTAATGTGAAAAGAATGATTGGTACCATTATGGAGTTGTTAAAGGATAGGTTAGTGTAGATAGTTTCCTAACTAATAAGAGGGCTAGGATCAAAAAATTTATCAAAAAAATAATATGTATCCTAGGCTACATACTGAACCTTTGTATTTATTTTTTGCATGTATTAATAAAGTAGTTTTACATTTATCACATAATATTGAATAATTCTTTCATATGTGAAAATATTATCTATCATGTCGTTTGAGCTTGAAGTATTGATTACTGAGCTTGAGGCTAAGAAAACTGACGAGAAATCTAGGCTTGCCAAACTTGATGCTAGAATTTTAAAACTAAAGCAGGATCAAGCAGAAAGAGAGACTAGAATTTTAAAACTGAAGTAGGATCAGGCAGGAAGAGAAGCTAAGAAAAATCGCAAATTCCAGACTAGTGTATCCAGATAGCTAAGAAAATTCTTAATGACGAACCTATCATCAAATATCGTCTGCCTTTCTTAAACGAATTAGAGCTTGATACTTTCTTCCAAAAATATCGAATTGCATTGGAGATGCAAGGGACACAGTATAGGCTTCATAGTACTAGCTGGTATAAGGATGTTAAAAAACTCGAAGATATTGTTAATTATGATCGGCAAAAATGATGTATTTGTCAAGATAATGGAATTTCTCTTCTTAAAGTATGATGCGATGAAAAACTGGAAATTGTTATTCCAGAAAGGATATGAAAAATTAAGGAGTTTGTTTGTCTAGCATTCAAAAGTTTCGATCTCATAATATTTTAATACATGTAATTCTACAGGTTTGTGTGAATTTTTCACGTGATCACATGAGTAACGTATTTTGAGCTGTTAACACGTAGATCGGCAATTTATGTGATTATGATTGGCAATTATAGATCGTCTGCCATTTTTCACGAAACTTTTTAACCGAAATGCTTTCAACTTCTGCGACTGCTATGAATTTTTACAAGGTTACTCCGGTCAAAGAATGGACATGTAACAACGTAATGAACTATTATTGCGAGGAGTTAAATATATTAAAAAAAGCAAACATTCTAGACGATATAAAGAAAAATCTTCAGAAGGTAGCAAAGGTTAATTCTGGATTCGACGCGACGTGTAGAATAAAAGTCCAAGAACTTATTGATAATTGGAAGGTGAGTTTACAATTATTGTGAGACTGAAGTCTGCAATAAGGAACAGGAGTAGCTGTAACTCTTGTATACAGTGGTAACCTCAACTCTTAGTTGTAGTATGGTGTGCTCTTAGCTCAAAACTTCTTTTTATTTCCTTGGGAGAAGCTGAACTACTTAGTTTAGTGATAACCTCAACTCTTAGTTGTAGTGGTGTGCTCTTAGCTCGAAACTCCCTTATTTATTTTAATTGGAGATTTATAGATTATATGAATAATTTGCTAACATAGATTTTATTTGCCAAGGATTGGGTTACCTTAGTGAAAAAAATACATAGATCAAGTCGAATTAACAAAAAGATTGAGGTTGTTCGGGTTAATCAACTGCTTGATGCGATCAAAAATTCTGTGAACTAGGTTGATATATTTCAAAAACAGTTTGTTGATGATAGTCAAAAGCGTTCTCTGGATAATTATGAACAGATGGATGAAGAAGCATTGGCGAAGAAGGCAAAACTTGATGTTGAAGCGGAAGATACAAATCCTAATGCAAACCTTGTTTGCGATAAGAATAGATTTAGATTATTAATTTTGGTATTATAAAGTAACTAATAGTTTCTCCTCTGGGCCTTCATTATCCTCTTCATCAGGTAATAATGAGCAACATACCTCATTATCAAATAGTAATCAAACTTCTCATGAAACAAATAATTTGGTTGAAGAGAAGAATACAGAGGAATTCATCGAGTTCTTACAAAAATGAAATTTGTCTTTGAATGCAGGTCATTTCGAAGTTTTGCGTAACTGAGAGATTATTGGTCGTGACTTCCTTAGGATGAAACAAAAAGATTTTAGAGATTGTGGGCTAGAAATGAGGCCAACGATGAGACTTGCAGACCTTTCTAAAGAGCTTAATGACCAAAGTAAGTATCTATGATGTCGTATTATTCCTTTATCTCATTTGATAATTTGCAATAACTTATCGTGTATGTAGATAAAGATTCAAGTAACGAATTCACTAAAGTATCTACAGTAGGAACATATTGACTGCTTTTGAATTTGATATGAATAATTTCGTAAAGAACTCAATAGAGATCTCTGTAAACTCCTTAATGGTAGAAATAAGAGTATTTGTGCCAAATTTCAAAATATTAAGGGAGATATAGAAAAGATTAGACATCAGATAGAAAAGATTGATAATACAGTGAAAAGTCTTGAACAAAGAAATGATATCGAAGGAAGTGAATTTGGCTACTAATCAAATTATACTAATTCAATATTTGCGGTTTTAATTCGTCATTTATTATTTAAAGATGTATTAGTTAAACTTACAAACAAAAAATGTAGCTAGTCAATAATCTTAATTTTATACTGCAAGAAATAAATGAAGTTTGCTTGTTAGTTTGCTCACATCAGGAAATAAAAAAAATACAAGATCGATTTATAATGCTAACTTAATTAGGGATGCATCTTTTATTGCTTGATGACATAACAATTATTATATATCGCAATATACATTAGTTAACTTTCTTGTGATAAGTTTAAAAGTAATCAGCATGAATGTTGCAAAGGATCATAGCAAAGTAGGCAGAAATAACAACTTGGCATTTATTCTCTGAAAGATTTGAAGATAAAGTTATAGAGCTTAGGTCTAATGATAAGAAACTTATGGATCAGACCGCAAGAAACCAGATCTATAATGAAATGAAGCCATATATCTCAGGCATTTCAGATGGATTACGTGTAATAACCTGTAGAGCAAGAAAAATCAATAAGTTGTTTGGGTATAAATATGACCCTGTAACTCTGAAAAAGATTGATGGTATACCAGAGTATATGGTTAATCAGGTCACCTGTAGTGCTGACAGAATTTTAAAACTCACTAATCCTCAAATCAAATACATCATAGAATAGGTCAAATCGAAAACAACCACTGGTCATGTGAACAAAATCTCTGAGAGCATGGCTACTACTTCAGCTCATGACTCTAACTCAGGTGATAATTTTAGAAACACATCAGATGATACAGATTATTTTAAGTCAGACAATGAATCTGACTCTGATGCTAATAAATCTGAATCTGATGTATATTTCAAATCTGATGACTCTGACTCTGATGATAATATAATCATAAACTTTATGAAAGACTCACGTGTGAAGAAATGGCAAGAATAGCAAAGTTAGAGGATAAAATACCAACTAAGCCTAAAGAGCAGTCACAAAGTTACCCCCAAGTAAATGATAAAGATTTTGATAAAATACTCATGGAAATTCACAAGAACCATGATATATATTTTGATGATCCTATACCTCAGTCAGTAATGAGTTCCACCATCTCTCTAGTAACTGCCTAAGAGTAATATTGGAAGAATTGTACATTTACATAGACTGAATCGTTATATAGGCTATTTTGATCATTTTCTGTCGTTATTCCTAATAGAATACAAAAAATTAAGGAGTTCATTTGTTTAGCATCCAAAAGTTTTGATCTTTTATATCTACAGGTATAAGTAATTACATCACAGGCATAATCTATTAGAAAATATCTATTTAATAATTATCAAGATCCCAACCTTTTACAGAATCAGCTAACGTATCTAAGAGTGCATTATGTTCTTTCATCCTAAATGCATTAGACCTAGAGAATGTGTCAAATAATCTATTTTTTTCTCAATCAGATATATCTGAAATACGTCTGGTAAATTCTATGAATACAATGTTCTGATGTCAAGCTTCCCAGACTTGATAAAGTTTTTCAAAGCATCTTTACTAAAACATCTTCTATAATCCTATCCAGTATATATTTTCCTAGGGTCCTAATAATTGTTCTGATCATCATCTCAGAGTGGTGATCACCAGCTCGAAGAACCCTTTTAGCTGACCGGGTTTTATATGTGTTTATTTTTTTCAGTCGAATTGAGATCAGCAAATTAATAAACATCAGAGTTACTATATTTATTCTATAATTTGCAATGATCAAAGCCTTAACTGTGAAAGAATTTTTATTATATACATGCCTTTTTTCTCACTATAGTTTAAAAAAAGCAATTAAGATAGACTATCTCCTGAATGTCTTTACCAAAGGAGTGTATATTTGTCTTAGCACTTCTAATGAGATATAATATTTATCCAGAAGTGACAGTTTCAAAGTAGTATTCACATTATGTAAAATTGACTTCTAATCCATGATGTGACTCAGTAAATTTTCCCAACTGTCAAAGCTATTCTGGCTTCCTGTGATCCAAATACTTCACACCTTGACTTGTTTTGAAGCTCTCAGTTCTTTGCATCTGGTTAAATTGATTTGGGATTTCTATAATATATGAATCATGTTTAGTAAGCAGTTGATGTTTCAGTACTAATAATACATTTTGGGATTTACTGGGTAGCTATAAATTCTTACATAACAACCTACTAATTTCTCACCTCCTTTAGGTTTCCAGAATCAGAAACTAGCATTTTATAAGTTTTCAAGTCATCAGCATTTCACACGCCACTTTGGCAATATTGCCTTCACAAGATTCTTTCGTAATTATATCTAAAATAATTGACCTTATAATTTTCTGAATAACTACGCATCCAGTGATCAGAATTTCACGAAATTTGATTTGGTAAATATCTAGAATCTGCTAAATCCTAACATTCAATCCTTATCAAAATTGGATTATTAGTTGATGAGCTATTTACGTTCCAAATTCATTACGGCAAATCGGCCTTTTATGATAATTTCCTCCTTCAGTCAAGACCTTTAGGAGATAGTTTAACTTAATTGCCTAATTTGATAGGTTTTCTTTTTTTGAACTATAATGAGAAAAAGGGGAGGATGTTAATATTTTTTGACTTTATTGATTGATTAGAGGCTTGCATGTTAATACAGCTTAATTTCAGAATTGGGATCAGCAAATTAATAGATAGGATTACCATATTTGTTCTAGAAAGAGAAGTTATAGTGTCAACATAAATAATGCGCAATAATATTATGATAATGATTACATATATCACAGGAATAAGCAACTGCGCATAATAATTTATTTTCAAACTTTTTCGCACATTTTCAAAAACATGTATAACTCCTTGATGATCTTTACGTATGGATTATGAATAGTATTAAATTAAGAAGAAGCCATTAATCAGATTTTCATGATGCGATCATATTAATGTAATTTTTTTTCCAAGGTACTTCAAGATTGATCCTGCAAATTATATAAAAAGGTGATGTCCTGTAGTGAATCCTTTTATCTGCCTCATTATTATCTAAAAAATTCCTATTTGATCTATCAATAAACACATTTCTTAATAAAATATACTGTGCATCACTTTATCTAAGTATGTCCAGTTTAATATCATTTAATTCTTCAGAAACCATATCATTTTTGGAATTATTCATCATATTTTTGTTCATTAGTCCAGCGATATTCGTAAGAATCGTCACCATGTATAAAAATCTAAAATAAGAGATCTCCGATGATTTTTTTGCACATATCATCAAAATTCTCATCAATCTTAGTATACTAAATAATATACCAGAAATCAGAAAGAGGTCACTTTATGACCAGATTTTTACTAAACTTAATGATAAATTTGACACATGTATTTCTGATATTAATTCTACTTTCATTACAAAACTCAGCAGAATCAATAATGATTTTAATAATAAATTTAACGAAGAAGTTAATGCAGGGTTCAGCAAAATTAACATTGAACTTAATAGTAAACTTATCGCGAAAGCTGAAAAAAACAAGGTACATAATGATGACTTCACTAGGAAGATGCAGAAAATTTGAATAACATAACTACGAAAGTTAATATATTGAAGAAACCTGCTGTAATAATTTTTGCAGAATTAATATTGTTATCAAAAATCTCCAAAATGAAATAAATCAACATTACACAATAGTTCAAAGATCCAATTTTGACCAACAAAGTGTGTCTAATAAATCTGAAGCTAATTCGACCAATGAATCTGAAACTAATTCATCTCCAAGTTCTTCTTCTTCTGAAAGTTCCAATTTATCTGGAACTTTAGATATTACTTCAGACATTAAAATTCGCTTTAAACAATACTTTGATCAACTTATGAAGGTGAAGAATTATACTTTTAATGAGATGTGCTACTCAGTAGTAATTGATATTCATAGTCTTCGAAGAAATATTAAGACTTTAACAGTGAAAAATTTTTATAATAGTATTAGTGGTAGTAAAATTAGCACAATTAATCAGATAAACGTATAGGTAGTTAGTTTTAATAATAATGCAGAGTAGTAGGAAAGAAACTGCTATTATATAGGTTGAGGCTCATCAGGTATTTATGCTTTATTCCTCCCTTGAAACAACCTGCTACTCCAATATTTTTTATTAGTTTTATTTTTTTTACTTAGCCAGTTGGCCTCCTTTCTCATGTGTTACTTTATGAAAAATATAATAAAGAGTTTATTTTAAATTTTTTTAAATGTAATAGCGTGTTTTATGTTTATACTACAAATTCTCAAATATAAATTTTGTGTTTGCTTATCAATGAGCTCGATAATCTCTTATATTTCAGTTGGTGAGATAGTTCATTATCTGATGTGAAAAAATGAAAATGCCATGTAATTGCTTATCGAATACTCCATCTGTGATTTGAGTTGCGAGAAGGTTATGAGAAAGTGCTGGGAACTGATTGGAAGCTAGGATGATACAAATTTTTATGTTATACTGCAACGCCTCTAGCTAATCCCTGTTAATCATAAAAGATCTACAAACTAAAAGTGACAGGAAAGTGTCGAAAATTGATGAGGTGATAGAAAGGAGCTAGGTGTACTGTAATACAACAATGATCATATTGTGTATATTGTCTCAGATCTAATTTAATTGAATCAAAAAAATCAGTTATAAAATCCATATAAATTTGAATGATAATATTCTATTTTTTTTTTTTTTTTTTTTTTAAAGTGCGGTAGTTTCGCAATATCTTTATTATGAAAGTAAAAAATAAATTTAAATACAAATCAAAAGAAATTACAAAAATCTCGTAAAGAACTAATCTAAGACTAAAACTATAGAAGACCGACCCTGCACTT